AAAAAAAAAAAAAAAAACATGTGGCATTGCATATTTCCATGTTCTAGCGGTCCATTCATTCGATTTTGCTCATCCTATCGATGGTGATGGTAGTACGGTAGTACCGTGAGGCCAGCCGCGACGTTGGAGACTTACCCTCTCTCTCTCTCTCTCTCTCTCTCTCTCTCTGTCTCTGGGGGCCAATCGAAAGGCCACATGGCTGCACGGCTGACGGCGACGACCAAGTTAAAAAATAACAAAAAAGAAAATAAAAACGTTAATATAAAGAAAGAAGAAGTAGATAAAGAAGAAAGAAGAAGAAGATAAAGAAGAAAGAAGAAGAAGATAAAGAAGAAAGAAGAAGAAGAAAAAGAAAAAGAAGAAGAAATATAAAAAAAGAAAAAGAAGAAGGAAACAGAAGAAGAAGAAGAAGAAGAAAGAAAGAAGAAGTTGAGGGGAAAAAAAACAAAATGGCTTACCTGCGCGACGCGTGCTGCTCTGCCGTCTCTCTCTCTCTCTCTCTCTCTCTCCCCGCTTGTGCAGCCGTTGACGACAACAAAACAGCAACAGGTATTTCTGTTGCTGTTTCAGATAGATGCTTGCATTTATCTGAAAAGGCAACTGGAATACCTGATGCTGTTCTGTTGTCGTCAACGAAACAGACCGGAATGGGCCTGTCCTTTTTTTTTTCGTACAGAACCAATTTTCACAAACTGAGCCGACATGAAAAAAAAATAAATCACATTGGCCAATGGAACACCACTACACGTTGCCAAAAAAAATGAAAAAAAAAAAATTGCCCTTTGATTTTTTTTTATTTATTATTTTTTGTATCACGTTTCACTTTTTTTTTTTTTTAATGCCTTCACAACATAGGTTGTTGTTTAAAAAAATACAGGGGTGTAGGGTTTTTAAAACTCTACACTGGGGCCTTAGAGTGGTGTTGCCGACTCAACAAGAGTAGTTGTTGGGCCACCGCATCACTTTCTCGCCCCAGATGCTGCAGGATTCGTCTCAGGTTATTTCTTCAATACGGAAAGCATTACGACCCTGGCTCCGTGTACGAGGGGTCAGCCTCGTAGGCAGAGGACTGGTGATAAATAACGCTATACTCTCAACAATTTGGTATCAGCGAGCCATTCGTCAATTAGATGTACCCACGGTGCAACTGATCCGGCGTATCCTGACACATTACCTCTGGAAGGAGGAGGGGGGGGAGGTCAACTTCCTTCCTAAAGTGGCTTGGGATGTGCTGACTCAGCCCAAAAGTCAAGGGGGGATGTCAATTTTGGACCCTCAAAGACAAATTGGCACGTTGCTGGTCAGATGGATAGTTTGGGCTATACTCGAAGGGCCGTCTGCCCCCTGGAGACAATTGGCGGAAATGATTCTGTGTAATCACTGGCACTGGACTGACAGCCGTTGCCTGTGGCTGGCAATCCTTACACCGGCCCACTCAAGGAAGAAACCCCCACAAGGTTTGTGGGATGGGATTTTGACTGCTTGGAAACACTGTGCACCGAAATTGAAACAGACGGAACTCTTTGCAGAAAGACTGCTCACCCAACCCCTTTTTGACAACCCCTATATTTTAACCCCACAAGGCATCCCTTTTCCCTGTTTTGGGGTGGGAGCATTTGGGGACGCCTGGCTGTCACGTGGGGTGGGCACCTTAGCGGATATTTGGGACGTCACAACTCACAATTGGAAAACACAGGCCCAACTCAGTGTAAAACTCATAGGGTTGTGGCGCCAGSAACAGCACACACAGATGCTTCAACAGGCGATCCCTCACTCATGGGTTGACACATTGCACGCGGGAGTGGTACCTGTGACCGGGATGTGGTACAGTTCCGTGGAAGAGGATAGCTTTGACTGCATTTGGCGGGTGGAGTCTTCTCTGCCCGCGCRTGACATTCGAACCTCCTCCTGGCAGCCTATGGAAGCGGCAACTTCTCTGGGACCCGTGATGCACCGCCTATGCCCTGACAGGGMCTTCCCCTCACTGCATYAYTTGATGCCGGTRTGTGTTTTGGAAACSGACGACAAATATCGCCCTTATTCTATATCAGTACCGGCCWACAACCTGCCAGTGGACCCGAGAAATTGGGAATGGGACCATCMGCTTAAAAGCCGGGCTCACATCCCGCTGCATGAGTATTCAGTCAGAATGGGCTACCAAATTGCCAGGCCTAAACTGGACGTGAACTGGATTGTGGCCAGGCGATGGCTGGCTACAAACTGGATAATGGACTCTTTACCACGACTGGCAGCAGCATTACCAGCCTTCAGGAGACTGTTAATGGACTTATCAGTTGTGAAACATTCAGGACTTCTTTGGCTAATTGCTCACCAAGTTTTACCCACTGCGATGTGGTGTGCCAAAAGAACGCATAAGGCTTCTCCTCGTTGTGCAATGTGTCCGGGTATGATGCTGGAAGACCTTCAACACTTCCTTCTGTTTTGTGAATTGGCTCGCCCTCTGTGGGACTGGTGGAGAAGCCCTTCGGTGCTGATAACAGCAGCGGCTGAAAGATGGACAGATGAGTTTGTATCGATGGGCTCAGCATCGAGACGCACACAGGTGCCAGGACGGCTTGGTTACGCAGAGGAAACATTGAGAGCAGCCATTCTTTGGACACTTTGGACGCTGTGAAACTCGGCGATCAGAAGGGGTGAGAGATGTACACCTCCAATGGTCCGGGCAGAAACCAAGTATTTCATTAAACAGGCGATTCACACAGACTGGACTTACAAAGTGCAGAACAAAGGGTGTTCAGCCAAAGCGACCAGACGTTTTGTTACAAGATGGATGGCCTTCCCGGGCCTGCTGACAGTCCAACAGCAACCAATGATGCGCCCGGAATTGACATTCTTTGCCTTCTTCCTTTGAACCTTGCCTCTCCCATTTGACCGATGGCTTGTGTTGAGCTTCAGTGTTGTGGGCATGGGGTTGGGTTTGGTTGCGTTGGGAACAGAATAGCAGATTACTAGCTTTGCTTGTAAAATATGTGGTGTGTGCTTAGTTTAGACTGTGCTATTGTTTCGGTGCCTGAGTGATTGTGTGTGCTTTTTTCGGTGCCTGAATGATTGTGCGTGCTTAGTTTAGATTGTGCTATTGCTTCAGTGCTTGCTGCGCGCAATATGTATCTCGCTAGTTTAGACTGCGCTATTGTTTTTTCCGCTTTTCTTTTTGTTTACAAGAACGACAACGTCAGTGGGTTAACTGCTTTTTGTGCCTATAACAAGCCACGTCAGTAGGTCAGTAGGCTGGCAGCTTCCTGAACCTGCGTCGTGGTAGCCAGAGGATACAGTTCAGTTCTTGGGAACTCTTTTATGATGTAAGGGATGCCGGACCCGTTTTCCGGCTTGTATAATTCAAAAGCGGCCGCTGTGTGAACCAGGCCGGAGTGCCTGGATCACACGGCATTGGCCGCCCTAAAAAAAAAAAAAAAAAAAAAACTCTACATCCCTGTATATTTTTTTTTTGGGATTTATTTAATTAGGAAAAAAAATATTCAGAAATCGGGACCACTGCCTCCCGCCCGCGGCCGACCTCAGCGGTCGGGATCCCGACTGCGGGCCGAGATTGATGACCGCGGGGGCTTGGTATCCGCAGACTTTACCAGCAGGGCCATACGTTGGGTGCCAACACGTGGCACAGGATGAGCAAACCAATAAATGATTGCATGAACGAAGGTAGGAAACAACAAAAAAAAGGAGTGGATAAGTTCTCACTCAATACGATCAGTGAATTTTTCTGCAGGCACTGGCCCCTGACACTGTACCGTCCTGGACCGAATATCTGCACAGCTAACCAATACCAGCCAGAGACTGGAAAGTCGAACCAACCATTCCATCTCCATCCCATCACTTAGATTGGGGATACACATCCAATTATCTATTGCACACAATCTCTGCACCACTAGCCAATACCAACCAAAGAGGGCAAAGTCGAAGCAACCATTCCGTCTCCACCCCATGACTTAGATATGGCCCATATGGGGGGTACACATCCAATTATCTATTGCACAAAGGTCTCTTCATGCCCTGCAATCCCGCAATTACCGTCCCACGTTTCCAGGTTTTCATCTCTTTTAGGGTGTACCTCACTACACTTATCTTGAATGTATCTGACGGCATTTAAGACCCGACACGGATGTATTCTTACCATGTCCCTAAACAAGTACAAAACGTTCTAGTGTGAGTATGCCCTTGAACGGAGGGTAGCGTTCCACGTCGTCATGCTTCCATCTCCACGACATCCGTTAGATGATGATGGTCGCACACAGGTCTCTTAGCACACAGGTCTCTTACGCCGCGAGAATTTTCATCCCAGCATCCATATCACGGAATCACTGGCAAAGGTGGACAGCTCATGTACCTGGGAGAAAGGTAGTCGAGGATCCGCGAAATTAGTTCTTCTGGCATTTGTTCCCATACCGACCTCTTGAATAGGCGGGCAAAATGGGCACGCCGACGGCGCTTCACATCTGCTATTGTGAACAGCCGCAGCCGGTGCCTGAAAACCTGCAAATGGAAGTGGGCACGATAATCAGTAGCAAGTCTTGTCAGGGAAGCTGCGACAGGAATCAGCCGCTCTACCTCAGACCGGCAGGAATAGGAAAGGCGGCCCGGGTTGTAAGACGCTCGGTGGAGAGAGCGAAGTTGTTTGGAAGCTTCAGGGGTGAGGTGTTCGCGGGCAGTAACTCCATCATCTTTTTCTGAGTCACTGTAAAGCCTCCCATTCTGACCAATAACGACTTCGTAATCCTCTTGGCAGTCCTTCTAAGCTTTCACAGCGATATTAGGGTACATCCTTGGTTTATACCATTCACAGCCCTTCACTCGGAGAACGGGGTTAGACCATCTTTCCAGCATCGTGGGGATATCTCCATGTGGCTTGTAATGCCTTTCAACCAGTTCTTCTGCAACGACTTGGATTCGCATGTCGTCGTTAGGGTTAAGGTAATTCGCTCTCTGACTGGGATCCGCTCTGTAATCCGCTCGAGCAATCAGTGCACCTTTCTCTCTCTCGCTGATGCTGGCACTCCAGGCGTGAGAAGGGAATACAACTCCGAGGAATTTCCCATCCAGCATTAGCATCCGCAGAGGGTACTTTCGGCCATCTGAGCCCACAAGGTCAAAATCCACTAGGAAACCCAGCAGACCACTACTCAGGATCTCCAAGGTAGCGTCGCAGCTCCTGTAAGTTTCGCCCGCCGCCAGCCTGAGTTCCTTCTCGCAGTAGTCGTAGATTTGCCTGGTGATAGTCTGATCACTCTCGCATTGAACATCCCTGCCCCATCGGCCGAAACAATTACCCAGCCGAGGGGGGGAGGGGTACACAGTCCCCTTGTGCCATCGGGCGAGATAATTCCCTAGCAGAGCGTCGCGGTGCAGTACCCAATGGCAAAAAAATAAGGCGGCAAAATCCCTCTTCACTGCTGCGCATTGCTTGTCCTCCGTCATCAAACCTTCCACTCTAATTAGGTCATCTAGCAGCACAGCCTCAGTAACCACTGGACCACCACCCCCGACCTCACCTCCCGCATCTGCCCCTTCGTCCACAGAATCATTCTTCTTAGTAGTATCATTTTTATTATCTTTACCTCCGGTACTGATAAATTGCAAGAACTGGGCTGCGAAGTCCTTCGCCATACCAGTGGGGTGGACTATATACTGCTCCGATGATCTCAGGTTACATCGGCAAATTGCTTGGAAATCCTTGCAATATTTCTGGAATTTCTCTCGGCAATATTCTTGGAATTTCTGTCCAAAATCATCAACGCTTTCCATCATCTCCTGAATTGCTCCTGGCCTGGAGACGAACCCAAGGAACACTTCCACGTCACAGATGCCGACAGAGGTGTCTAGCGCAGCCAGCTGGACAGGTGCCACGTGGAATTCCTCAAACACACTTCCTCGAAACCCGAAGCCGAAGTCAAAAATCATCCTCTCCTCGTCAGCATCATCATCCCCACCACCACCACCACCACCACCACCAGCACTACCAGCACTACCAGGACCAACATTCTCCATCTCTTGTCCCTTCTTTTCCTCTGCCGTTAGAATCAGAATCTACCGGGAAAAAAAAACAAAAGCGATAAGAGATAAAGAGTTCAGAAAACGCCTGTAAGACTCTGCCTTTAGATTTTATGTGCGCTTTCCTAATCAGACAAAAAGGCAAACTACAGACAGACAGACAGACAGACAGAGACACAGCCACACAGACTTACATACAGACACAGCCACACAGACAGACATACAGGCACACACACACACACACACACACACACACACACACACAGAGGCAGATGGGTAACCACACGGATTGAATCATGGACTTCTGAATATCAAAAACAGAGCAAAAAGAAAGAAGATCAGATCATCAATCAATGATGCCGATGGAGAAAAGGAAGGAGGTGGGAGCTCGAGAAAGTCACTAGCAACGGACCCTTTGTTGAATCACTGCTTGATTGCTTTGCGGATCGGAACAACCAGATAAAGGGAGGCAGGCAAGGGCAGAAACGTCTCATTCCATTCCATTTTGTCGCACACCTAATACGAAGTTACAAGGAGAAGTAATTCAAAGAGAGATAAAGGAAACACATTTACACCTAGTGCATGAGAAAACCGCAGCAGCAGCAGCACCAGCAGCAGCAGCACCAGCAGCAGCAGCAGCAGCAGCAGAAGAAGAAGAAGAAGAAGAAGAAGAAGAAGAAGAGGAATCGAATTGGATTGAATTGGATTGCATTATGATAGCAAGGCCAAATGGTACAAGTCCATGTACTGCCGAGTTGTTCAGATCACAGCACTCTGCTCATTCATTCAGCGCGTGCTCTCCGACATCATCCCGTGGCCTACCGCATAACCCCTGCCTTACGTAGCCCACCTTACTCCTCCACCCACGGAGCGTGTGAGGGTCGATCCCGCCTTGCCCTCATTATCTTAATAATACGCACTACACCCGAATAGAACGCCCGGTCATTACAGCTGCATCTGGGGCAACTTTAAGGTCAGATGCAGCGATAATGACCGGGCGTCTTATTCGGGTAAAAACGGTAGGACTTCCCTTGCGCGTACCCTGCCTTGTCTATTGCTGAATGCTGATTGGCACAAGGCCCTGCGCGCGTGCTGGGGGCTTCCCTGAAATTCCCGCTCATGCACTACCGGGAAGAAAAAGTCGTTCTCTTTTCTCGCTCTTAATAACTTGTCCCTCGGACTCCTTCCTCCTTCGAGACATCCGTTAAAATTGGAACAACGATACAGAGAAAGAAAGAAGATTAGCATGGCCCCTGCTGCGCAAGGATCATGAATCCACTCAAAAGTCGATAAATGCTCCAAATTACCAAATTGAAAAGAAAGAAAAAAACGTTATACTTGACCTACCTTTCCCCGTGCTTCTGCGGTAGTCCGTCTGCTGCCCCCCCCTCCCCGTACCCATATAGAGGGGTAACGGGTCCTGTCCTTCCCTCCTCGCGTACGGGTGCGCGACCAAAACAGCTTCGCATGCTCCGCGATGCAATTACCCAGTACCTAGGATGCTTAAAAGAAAAAGGAAAGAAAAGGAAAGAAAAGAAAAGAAAAGAAGAATAAGAAAAAGAGGGGAGGGGGAACCAAATCGAAAAAAGAATCATAAAAGTGACGACGGACCAAAGGCAGATCGAAAAAGAATTTTTTATAAAAAGGACTACAAAAGGAAGAGATTCACCCCCAGCTCTAAGCTACAGAGACCCGTACTGATTGATTGATTGATTGATTGGATGATTTTTTTGATTTTTTTTATTGATTGGATGATTTTATTTTTTTTTTGATTGAATGGATGATTGATTGCACTTTTTCTGAAAAAAAAAAAAAAAAAAGGGCGACGGCCTTGAGATGTCATCATCGAACTAACCGGCGCTTTGCAATTCCGAATTCACTCATTCACTCATTTGCTTCGGCTGGAGTTCGAACACGTCTGTATCTCAACAGTTCGTTCAGGGGTGTACCAACTGACCTAGGCCAGTTGGTACTGATTTTTTTATTTTTATTTTTTTTTATTTTTTTTTTTGAAGCCCGACGGCCTTGAGATATCATCATTGAGCCGACCGGGCCCAGGTAATTCAGAATGATTCCATTCTGGTCATCTGATTGTATCTGGTTTCGAACTTGGGTCTGTGTTTCAACAGTTCAGGGGTGTACCAAGTGAGCTAGGCCAGTTGGTACTGATTGCCCTTTTTCGTTGGCCGCCTTTCCCCCTTCCGCTAGAAACCCTTGCCTGGTTGGTTTAGGGTTGCAGCTCCGTCAACAATTCCATCACACCATCGAAGTGGATGTCGCAGCTATCGCTAATGAAAAGAATGGGGCTGAAATCGGAGATGATCTGATGGCCAATAACACACAAACGAAAGGGGAAAACACTATTATAATGATTTTAGAAAAATGATAATATTACAAAAAAAAGACCCGAGAAACTGCGAGGAGAGATACCTCACGTATAATATGGAAACCCAGACAGCGGACTGACGTGAAAAAGGAGAAAATCAGGGTAGTGCCGTGAGGAGCGGATGATCCTGCCTCGCCGGCATACCAAGGCACATCAGCAAGAACGACTTGTGTTCAATGAATCTGACCACCACAACGGCTAAGATTCCGTCTACACATTCCTACCTACCTTTTCTATACCGTCGGCCTCCGCACATTCCCCCCGGTAATACGAACGCCCATCACTCAAAGAAAAGAAAAAAAAAAAAAAAAGAACAACGGGCGTACCTCAGTTGGTACCCCCAACGAACTGTTGAAATATAGACCCAAGTTCGAATCCTGATCAAATCAGATGACCAGAATAAAATCACAGGAAAAGAAAAGGGGCAACGAAAATTGCTCACCACCTTCAAGTTGGTATCCTGATGACGTTAGCCAACCAATGGTATGTGTTTGTAAGGATGATGACGTCAGCAAACCTCGTGACTCTCCTGATGACGTCACCAAGCCATGATCGTCATGAAGGATATTCCCCACGTGATTGGTCCAGACGACAAACACACTCATCCATCTTCAACTTTCCTGTGTCCCGAGACGACAAACACGTGCGGTAAAACAGGGGCGATTGAGGAGCTCGCCACGTGGAAACGTGCCACGTGTCATCATCAGTCACCCCCCCCTTTCTTCGAGGCCACCTCAGCGGTATTATGATGATCCCCACATCAGCAGAACAACGAAATGGAGCTAGAGTGCAAGGAAAATGAGGGATGCCGAAATGACAGAATTCCAGAATGCAAGATCACATTGAAAGCCAGAAAGTCGAACGCTATCCAGAAAGCAGATATGCTTTGATAGTCCACCAACGGAGAACCAAAGCACCGAATCCAAATGTCAATGAGAGCATACTCTCGCCACCACCAACGTATGTATCCAGAGCCCTTCCTTCTACTTGGCGCTCGGCGTCCAGACTACAATCATACAGCTACAACTCAGCCTACGAATTGTTAATGCAACCTGTTGACGTCAGCCGAACCAAAGTACATGAAGATGTCGACCCTGTAGACCATCGCCAAAACCAGGCACGTACCCTCACATCATCATCCTCATCTCTCTCTCTCTCTCTCTCTCTCTCTCTCTCTCTCTCTCTCTCTCTCTCTCTCTCTCGTCTTCTTCACCCACGTCTTCCTCCTCTTACAAGAAGACGAGCACCACCTCCACCAGCCGTCCAAGCCGAGCCCGGCTATGGATGGGCTGGCGCTGCCCTCAGCAACGCCCTGCTTCCCGACGCCCGCGCGCGGCTGGCACATGCACTAGCGCTAAGCATGCAGCCGCGAGCTCCAGCTCCACTAGCGCTGCCGCTCGCACCTCCACGTGCCCAAATGCCCGCCTTGTACCGCGGCCATTTCCAACATTGAAAGTGGCTTGCCTCCCGCTTGCCCCCTGAGACCGAGGCTTGGACCCCACTGGCCGGCGGCTGGAAACTGGTGTTGGCCATAAAAAATGGCCAACCGTGGTTGGAAACATTCTTCCTCGTTTCGTTGGGACCCCACCGCGGGCCGATAGTTTCGGCATTGGAAAAGTTTGGAAAAGTTTGGGCATGCCCGAATAGGAAATCGCACCGGGGTGTTTCCCAAAAAGGCAAGCCCGGCGGGGGCTGTGGTCCATGATCTGCTTGCGCAGCCAATGAAGTGTCTACAAAACGCATGTGCGCGTCGTCTTTCTCCAATTGCTATAAACAAAATTGCGAGGAAGGTATGTATCTAGTCTTTGTCTCTGAGAAAGGGGAGCCGTAAAATCACCCCTAGAGATAAAAGTAGTCATTGCACATTATTCAGACCTCTTTGAAGAGCCTAGGGGTGTGGTAGAAAGGGAGATTGTTCACGCGATTGAAGTCGTTCCAGGTAGTAAGGTACCTAGAGGGCGGATATACGGGATGTCTCCTGCAGAGTTAAACGAGCTCCGTCGCCAGCTCAAGGAGCTCACAGAGAAGGGTTGGATCCGGCCAAGTACGTCCCAGTACGGTGCACCAGTCTTATTTGTCCCAAAGAAAGGAGGGAACCTAAGGATTGCACCCGAGAACAGGCACAGACGACCATCTGCATTTCAGGTAGGTGAACGTGTTTGGGTTAAGTCGTGTGAGTTGGGAAAGGAGTTGGGAATCTCTTGAAAACTGATGCCACAGTATTTCGGCCCGCGGGAAGTTCTAGACGTTGTTGGGGATGCACCAGATGGACCAACTTACGTCATCCAAATCCCTGGGCACCTACGCACACACCCTATCTTTCATTCCTCCAAACTGGCTCCTATTTCTGAGACTGACAGGTTTCCTTCAAGAAGATCTATGCTGCCCCCAACCACGGATGGACACGTGGACATCGATGACATCGTTGAACACAGGCTGATGCCTGTGCCCAAGCCTCCACGCAAACCGCAGATGCAGTGTAGAGTGCCGTACAGACACCATCTAGATCCTAAAGAAGACCGATGGCTCACGAGAGAAGAAATAATGAAGACTGGTCCACAGGTAATCTCAGGGTATGAGAGAAGGTTGAAAGGGAAGCAGCCTGCTGAGTGAAGACTTCTCAGAGGACTATCGAAGTAAAGGAGGAGGGAACACGAGGATTATAAGGCCCTTGCAGCGAGTACGTGCCCACCCTAAGTGCAGGCGGGCCCCCGAATCTCAATGAGCCCATTGCAGTGAGTACATGCAAATCCTGTTGGGCGCCAGACAGTTGCCACGCGCCAGTTGGTTACATCCGCCTTGCTCGTGAGAATCTGAAATATTCGAGAGCCTTCCAGGGCCTGGCAGCAACTTGGCGAAAGCAGGGAACACCGCACTTGTGTGCCTGGGTGCTTAGGCATGCCTCACCAATTCGGTCCCAGGCCACTGTCTGAACGGGCCTGGGCGCAGACACTTCGGCCGAGACGGAAGCTACCGAAACTCAGGCTTGGACCCCACTGGCCGGCGGCGTGGAAAAGTTTTGGCGAGGACGTGTTTTTCAGACCCCACAGGTGTTGGAAACCACTGTGGAAAGCCGACCCGGAAAGGAATTTCAGACCCCACTGCGGTTGGAAAGAGGTCGTGGAAAAGCTGACGGGGCGTTTCTACTCGGTTCGCGGTCTGAAAATTTTTGGCAACGAGTTTCCAAACAGTTTCCAAGGACGGCTCCAGACGAGTAGGGGGGGGGGCATGGAAAACAGTTTCCAGGATCGATCTGGACGTCGTGTCTGCTATCCTTGCACTTTTGCAGTCTAACGGTCCTTCCATTTGGCAACTTGTGGATCATCACCTTCCTATCCCAATCGAACTGAAGCTTCGTAACCTTGAGGTCGTACTGACTCGTACATGCCTACAAAGTGTCAAATGGCAGTTTGCCGCTCACTAGGAATGAGATTTCCTATCTCGGTTCCCCTCCTCTATAGGAGAACGTGCAGACTACATCCTTAACATAGTCTTTGACTATCATAGACTGCTTGTTAGCTAAGGTAGATGCTACAGACCAGTTGAGCCGTTGCACTTGGTCCCCTAAGCGCAGCCTATCCACAGAAGTATGGCTGATGAAATTCCATGTAGAACCTATGTCTACGAAGGCACCAACCTTTCGGCCATCTACATTGACTTCTATTACAGAATGTGCACCCTTTGGACCTTTGTTCAACATCGCTCAAGAGTCTCTAGGGCCTTTTTCTAACCACTCACTTTCTAACTCCCTTAAGGACTCAAACACATCCATTGAAAAGAGTATCGATTGGTTTCGATCTGTCTGTGGGGCGGTCAAGTGGTTAATAGCCTTGGCCATCGTCTGAAATGGAGAGGGTAAGGTAACCACTTCAGCACGCGTAAGAGCTGCTAACACTCCTATTGGCCCGAGGTGTTTCCCTGGGACGTGCTCGCAAAAGCACCACCTTAGTTTGAAGATTCAACTGTCACTATAGAGGACACTATCTTTCCAGCGACCCGCTTACTCCTGCACTTGCTCATTGTGTGCCCATACTGGCCATAATTGAGACAAGTGTCTC